CTTGAAATCTGGGAGAGAAACAACTATATAATTCTCTAGTAATTGGTTGCTAGCTTGCAAAATGTTAACTATGTCTGCTGGTGCCAATGAGTTTCATCAATCAAGATGCGTTTGGTTAGATGGCCTCATGGCAGCAAGAGGCTGAAGCAGCTCTAGCATCACCTCCTTACACAAGCAGAAAACATTCTTCAGAAGCCTCATTGTGAGAACAAGCAACTCTTTCCCTGGGGTGTTGCCTGCAAACTGCCTCTCACATATCATTGGTCAGAACTGGTTACTTTGCCCCTTTCTAAGCCAATCACTGGCAAGAGGATTGGAATGTTTGGTTTAGAGACTAACTGAAATTCACCCCAACCTTAGCCCCTCCTCTGGGTTTGGGATGGGAGCACTTTGATCAGCACGTGGCATGATAACTTAAAACTGGGGAGATTCAAGCAAGGAAAAAGGGAGGAAGATGAATTTGGGTAAGGAACCAATGGTGTCTACTACAATCAAGAGGTGAATGTGTGGGGAGGATAATGAGGCAGATGTGGGTCTCTAGAAATCTGGGTTGGATGGGAAGGATGAGGATGCTAACCCAAGAGAAATGCTGGAGCGAGAGAAGGGTTTGTTTTATTTTGTTTGGTGTGAATCTAGAAGAGACCTGAACATATTTATAAGTAGAAGGGGGGTCAGTAGAAATGAAGAGTTTGAGAACTCAGAAAAACAAGTTCCCAGAGCAGATGAGAAAGAATGGAATCTCCAGTCAGGTACCAGACTTTGGGATTTAGAAGATCAAATTTCAAAAAAAATGGGTGAGTCCATCAGAAAATTGCCAACTTTTAATTTCTTTGATCAGAGGCTTAAAAAAAAACTTAACAATTGTTAATTAAAGTTACTTTCGATTACAATTAATTGAAAGTAATTACAATTAATTTCCATTAATTTCTCAGTTTCTGGATTTTAAATGTTCTTCTTGTTGACTTTCTCCAGATTTTTTTTTTTTTTTGGCTGTCCATGATGTTATTGTGAAAATCTGAATAAGGTTGGTATAATAGATGAAAACATTGTATTGATGTTAATGCTCCGATTTTGCACATTTTACTGTTCTTATGGAGAGAATGTCCTTTTAAAGGAAACGTACACTGCAGGACTGCAGAAGTGTGATGGTGGATTCTACGTGTCAATGTGGCTAGGCTATGGCACCCAGTTGTTTGCTCAAACACCAAACTAGATGTTGCTGGAAAGATATTTTTTAGATGTGATTAACATTTAACTCAGTAGACTCTGAGTAAAGCAGATTGCCCTCCGTAATGTGAGTGGGCTTCATCCAATCAACTGAAGACTTTAAGAACAAAGACTGAGGTTTCTGGAAGAGGGAATTCTCCTCAGAATTGCAACATAGAAACCCTGCTTGAATTTCCAGCCTGCTGCTCTGTGGAATTCAGACTCAGATTGCAATATTGACCTTTACCTTAATTTTCAGCCTGCTAGGCTGCTCTATGGATTTCTGACCTGCCAACCCACACAAGCCCATAAGCCCATTTCATAAAATATATGTCTACCTTCCTTCTTCTCCTCCTCCCTGTACGTTCTTCTTTCTCACTTTCATTCATTCATATATATGTATATATATGGAGAACTGTGACTCCTGACTATACAGGGTAAATGGCATCATGTTTTCAACTTATTCTCAAATATTAACTCCAGGGGAATCTGGGTGAAAGGTAATGGGAATTCTTTGTACAATTCTTGTAGTGATTCTGTAATTCTGAAATTATGTCAAAATTAAAAGTTAACAGCAACGTTTATTTGAAATCCAGTTTGGAACAGAGCTTTTCTCTTATATCCAAGCATATAAACTTGTCTACATTCCCGAGGTAGCTGACAAACGCCCATTTAACACATAATGTAGCTGAAATAGTGTGCCTTCTCACAGGGATTAAATAGGAAGAAAGCAAGACTGTTTGAACAGTGATTCAAGCAGAAGGGAAAACATTGAGATTGAGTAACAAATTTTATTTCACCTTTACTTGGGTGGAAAAACTATTGCACAGTTTAATATTGAACTGCCAATGTGGAAAATGGGGGAAAAAAGCAACAGCTGGTGGGTTGAGGAAAGAATGGTCGATAAAGAAGAAACAAGTGCTTCCTAGAGAGGAAGGGAGGAGAGTTTTAAGGAAGGTTTTGTTTGATTTGGTTTAATCTGAAGAAATTTGAGCATATTTATACACAGGGGATGGAGCTAGGGTTGAGTGAATACTTGAAATAACGTCAGAGAGAAACAAATGGGATCTTAAGCAAGCAGTGTTTTCTTAAATTTTATATACCATTAATTTGTTTTAATAGTAAAACTGGAGGACCAATATAAAGTTGTTGACTTTTATATTTGCCAAGTGAAGACTTTAAACACACACATACACACACACACACACAGCCACCCAAACAATGACTATCCACTGTTACCATAATTTCATAAAGGGTGAACACTAATACATAAAAGGCAAAATGTAAACATTTACTAGATTTAGCATGGTGTTCTTATTTCACTGAGGACTGTTTTATGGACTCTGACTTTTTAAGTCAGTCTTGGCTGAGCATCTATAAGCACCTGTGTCTACCCTGGTAATCTGTGCGAAGCCTGATGAAGAGGGATGTTCTCAAACACACACTTCGGGTGGTGGTACATCCCCATCTCCTCCATTGTGACTTTGGTTCTTCCGAGGGCTCACTTCCCCTTACCTCTATAGGTGATCCAGGTAAGCCCTGATTTGGCTCTAGGTTCCGGTTCCTCCTCCTCCCAAGGGCAAACTTACAAGTGGAGCTGTGGCACCCACCTCCACTGGCTTTACTGAAATTGCATGTTTACCTTCCAAGTTTTTCAATACTTTTTATCACCAATTCTGCCCTTTGTTAATGTTCAAACCCACTGATCTCTTTCTGGTTACTGGAGCTTTACTTGTGTTTTCGCCTTGCTCATCACCTCACCATTGCTTCTCATAGAATTTTTTGGCTGGAGAAATGTATTAGCACCTGTTTCTGTTTCTCTAATTCATGTTAGATGCCTCCTACCTTAACAGGGAATAGCTGTTTTGGCTACACACCTTACTGGTGAGATTAGTGCCATTCCCCTGTGCTTTGTTTAGGACCTTTCCTGATCCACAACCTTTAGGGTAAAAGTCCAAGGCAATTCATGTCCTCATATCTGCAAATGAAAAGCATGAGATCAATTAGAAAGTGTTTGCTTTGGGTCAAACAGACTGTGTGTGTGACAAACAGACTGTGTGTGTGATGTGCTCTGTCCTCTGTCCTTGTTTAGCAATGTGACTTCACACAAGTTTCTTAAACTCGCTAAGTCATCTTTCTTATTTGTAACATAGAGAAAATAAGAATCTCAAAAGGCTTTTCCAGGGATCAAATGAGAGAAATATGTAAGGAGCTTTGACATGTGCTGGCACATGGCAGGGCTCAAGAAATCGTGCCTGCTGTTATAACCCTCCTTTCTTCCTAGCACTTTCTAGAATGATGCTGTCAAACATGCTAACTACTAGTGTCACTGAAACACCAGGGGTCCGGTCTAGGTCCTGCTGCTTGCTTCACAGAAAGGCGATGACTGAGACAATGAGTATTGCCAAGGAAGAAGGCTTTAATTGGGGGCTGCACCCAAGGAGATGGGGGTTCAGTCTCAAATTCATCTCTCTGATTGATTAAAATTAGGGGTTTATATAGCAGGGAAGACATGTTACTATGTCTGAGAAAACAGGAACTCCAGAGGCGTAAGGAAGCAATCATGATGAATGAGGGGCCTGGCGTTTCATTGTGTGGATGCAATGACGTGGTTTCGGTTCTTTGATACTTCCTGAGAGGCCTGGGGATCCTTTCCCGAGGAAGGAACTCAGATACAAACAAGGACCAATTTCTATGTTTATCCGAAAACAACTGTCTATGGGACTGTTAGTCGGTTTCACTAGCTAGTGGAGGTGGGTGCCACAAGTTTCACCTGTAGTTGCTCTTGGGAGGAGGACGAACCACAGCCCGGAGCCAGGTCAGGGTTTACCTGAATCACCTGCAGAGACGAGGGGAAAAGAACTCTCAGAAGAAACAATGCCATGATGGAGGAGATGGGGATGTACAACCATCCGAAACAACTTACAGCTTTAAGTTTCAAACTTTAAGACTAGAAGGGCCAATTTCTACGTTTATCCAAAAACAACTGTCTATGGGACTATTAGGTCATTTCACTAGCCACATGTACCCACTGAGCATCTGAAATGCGGCTGGTCTCAGTTGAGATGTGCAGTAACTATAAAACACACATTCGATTTTGAGGCTTGGGATGATGGAAAGAATGTATCTCACTAATAATTGTTTATATTGATAACATGTTGAAACAGTAATATTTTGGATGTACTGGGTTAAAAAAATATATTATTAAAATTAATCTCACTTGTCTTTTTACATTATTTAATATGGCTTCCAGAAAAGTAAAAATTACGTGTGTAGCCTGCAGTGTAATTCTACTGGACAGCGTTATTTTAGAATCCTGATTCCTATTTGTGAAATAGGTTGACAAATTGATGTATGGGATCTTTCTTTAGAGATCACTCCTGGATATGACCCCGTTGTCCACCTGACATCCCTGCAGAGGATGGCGTGTTGTCTTTACCACTTCTTTGGCCTTAAACATCTGCTTTGTACTGTGTCTTGCTTTTCTCATGCACTTAGAAGATTAAAGATCTTAATAACATAAAGAGATGTCATCTGAAAAAGGTGGACAGATATCCCATCATATCCCCAAGGGTCGAGTCATGAAGAGACGGGAAATCTGCTTGTGAGCACATAGGTGACAAATATTGGGCATTAATTAAGGTTAATAATTAATAATTGTATTTGGGTACAAGTAAGAAAAACACTTTTTTTTTTTTTTTTTTTTTTTGAGACAGAGTCTGGCTCTGTCACCCAGGCTGGAATGTAGTGGCACCATCTTGGCTCACCGCAACCCCTGCCTCCTGAGTTCAAGCGATTCTCCTGCCTCAGCTTCCCGAGTAGCTGGGACTACAAGGTATGACCACCATGCCCGGCTAATTTTTTGTATTTTTAGTAGAGACGGGGTTTTGCTATGTTGCCCAGGCTGGTCTCCTAAGCTCAGGCAATCAGCCCGCCTTGGCCTTCGAAAGTGCTAGGATTACAGTTGTGAGCCACTGTGCCCAGCCCAGAAACAAATTCTAACTCAATCACAAGTAGGGAATTAATTGGAAGGATAGTGGGGATCTCACAGACTTGGTGGAAGAGCTGGACAACTGAGCATCAGGAGGGACAGGACCCAGTCTGTCTATAGGATTTCTATAGCCAGCACCCAAGGCCCTTCTCTCTGGGCACTGCCACTGGACAGCTCAAGGGTGCACCTTCTGCGCTTGAGACCCTGCTCATGATTCAAATTACAGAGAGAGATAAACCTGACTTGGCTGAGCTCAGGTCATGGGTCTGCCCACTTCCTAGGCCACTGGGGGTAGGATTCTGAATTGCCAGCTCCACCAAAACTAGGGACTTAGATTTCAACAGTTCCCCAAAGGAAGGGGTTATGGCAGAAACACTGCTTTAGGTTCATCAAATTCTGTTGCTATTGTTCTTTTCCTCTTCCTGAGCACAAAGGAAAATCTTATTTCCTACCCTCCTTTTAAGTTAGGTTAAAGTCAATGGCATCTGGGTAGAAACGATGTTCTCTGTCAAGACTGTTGATGTAAAATCTTGGTAAACTTGGAGGCTACCTGCATGAGAAGTCAGGGTCATCAGAGGGAAGGAGTCTGGAGCGAGTCTGGAGCCTAATCACCACTTAAGGGAGGGATACTGTAGAGACCTTGCAACTTACATCAGACTGTGAGGGAATCGAGATATAAAGCTTTATTTTTTAAGACTCTGAGATTTGGGGTGTTGTCTGTTATAGCAGCCATCATAATTACTCTAATACAGGGATATTATTTCAGAAGAAAGGGGGTGAGGGAAGCTGGGAATACATTCTATCTCTCTAGGAAGAGCAACAATAACCAAAAACATAGAGTCTTATTTATGAAGCAATACAAATTTTATTAATATACAATGGGAAATTTAACAGTTTAGGGAATCAGGTACTCAATCTTTTGATTCTCTTCTACGCTTACGGTCTATGAGAAGCCAGATTATAATCACATAGTTACTTGATAACACAAATATACAAAGAAAAAGGAGTGCTGATTTTATAATGTAGTGTTCAGGAGTATGAAGACTTGACTGTGTATTCATTGGGCCATGTTTCTTAAAATGAAGTTCAAGAGTCCCTCAAACCAGAGGTACATAAAGCCCAGGATAAATATGACACATCTGCCTAGGGTACCTGAGATTTGGGGAATAAAAAGCTAAATAACTGAATTGGTAATTTAAAAACATTTTTACACTAAAACACACAGATATATTATTAATTAGGATGCAAAAAATTGCATGGATTTTTATTTTAAAGCATGAAGCCTCCAAGAAGATTTGAGGTTGAATTGGGCGGCTTTAGGGTTAGAGTGAGCAGTAGAATAGTGGAGTCAGGAGCACTGGCTTGGAGTTGGACAAACCAGGGTTTTGAGAATAAGACTCTTGACATTTACTAGCTATGTGACCTTCGAAAAGTCATGTAATTTGTCCAAGCTCTATAACCTCATCAATATGATGAAAATAAACAGACTTGTTTCAGGGACTCAAGGAGCCAGACCACAAAACTAGCTAGGACAGACACCTGAAGGACACAGTAAAGGATGGTGGTTAGTGTAGCTGTGATGGTAGCTATGCCTCCAGATTCTTCTCAGCTATTAGGGGTGCTTTTGGGAGAAAAGCTGGGAACTCACTCTCTTGGTGTATCTCATCTCTACAATGGAGCAGGCCTGCCAGAGTCACTCTCCTTTTCTTTCTCCTGAGGCTGGCCACCTTTCTTCCGATTGGCACATTGCATCTGTAGAAATAGTATGGGGAAGTTATAGCTGAATGTGGCTGACCCAGGGTTCACTTCTGTATATTCAGATGACTGTGTATAGCTCCATTCTTTCCAGCTTGGAGGCCGTAGGAAGCCAGCTTATACCTAGGCTCTTGGGCAGCATCTTGCTGTAGCCCTCACAAACTGATTATATAGTCCGTATATGTCATGTTTGCTTCCAATTATGACCAATGTGAGGGCTTGACAATATTTGGTGTTTCCTTGCATTGGCTAAGATTGTTTATGGCTACTTCCCAACAAATGCTGATTAGCAGATTGCAAGAAATAAAACTGAAATATATGCAGTGTTGTCATCACCTATTGTTTCACATCTAGCTCTTGCTCTAGGAGGGGAAGGAGGAAGGAGGACATATGTATCCCTAAATCCCAAAGTCAAAAAACAATCCTTTCACCACCACAGTGACAAATGCTACAGTGACTCCCTGTTCTGCATTCTACCACCCTCAAGTATGGAGGCAGCATGAAGTACTGGAAAGGGCAAGGTCTTTGGAGTCAGGCAGACCTCGTGGCCCAGCCTCATCATTAACTAGTGAGGGGACTAGAATTTAACAGGTAGGTAACCCCATTCAACCTCTTTGAACTTCAGTTCCCAATCAGTCTATCTCCCAGGGTTGGTGAGGGAACGAGACAAAGATTAAGAAGCTCTTGGCTGAGATGAGGTTTATTCAATAAATGTTAGTGTCCTTTCCAAGTAAAAATTGTTTTGGTGCCATAGGAAGGCAGACATCTGAATCAGGGTCACACATGCGTTCTGGGATCTTGGAGAATATAGTCCTATTAAAATGGTGAACTTCAGTTTCATCTTTTGTAGTCTCTTCAATCATGGAGCATGTGGGAATTTAAATATGGTCTGCAGACTCTATGAGGCAAAAGAGGAGGGAGCAAAAGGAAGTCAGTAAGGTGAGTCAGGGTGACAGCCCAGATTACAGCAGTAAACATCCCTCTATGCAGGTATGTATGTATGTATGATGTCATGTACGTATGTAGCTCCTATGTCTTTTACTCCTTTTCTTTCTCCTTTCTTTTCCATCAAGTCACCTTTTCATTTTTGTTCCACCAATTTTATTTGATTTTATTTTGACTAAGTTATTTGCCCACATGGTTCAAAATTCAAAAGGTGTAAAAGGGGATTCAGTGGAAAGTCTCCTCTCACCTTGCCCTTCAGCTGCCAAAGGCAACCAATGTTAACAGTTTCTTGCATATCCTCCTGGAATATTCTGTTTACCCTCTTTTTATACAAACGAGCACATACTCAACCATGATATGAATTTTGCTTTTTCACTTAACAATTTTGGGCATTATCCCACATCCATATATGGAAAGCTTCCTTGCTCTTCTTAAATTTATTTTTAATTGCATTATATTTTATTTTGGGTATATACCATGACTTATCTAACCAGTACTCTATTGAGGGACATTCAGGCTAGTTCCATGTTTTCTTGCTATTACAAATCAGGCTGGAATAATCTTGTACATATCATTTTGCACATAAGTAAATCTGATAGATGGTGCCAAATTGCCCTTTCTAGAAGTTGTACCAATGCACACATGCTGCAAAGTACCAAAGACTTCTGACTTTTCTAAAATGTACATGCAAAGGAACTAAAGCACATAAACAGGAAGTGTGTTCGCCTGTTGTATCCTGTACTGTCACGCAGGCTGGAGTGCAGTGGCGCAATCATAGCTCACTGCAGCCTTAAACTCCTGGACTCAAGCAATCTGGCCACCTTGGCCTCCCGAAATGCTGAGATTACAGGTGTGAGCCACTCTGCTGGCCTTGAAAGATAATGTAATTATATGTTAATATAAATAACTTTAATAAAAAATAACTATTTTCAAAAAAAAAATTAGTGAGAAGAGTGGCATTGCTTTATATTTTTGCAAACCTGGCTTGATAGATAATAGCTGTATTCTCCTATCTGCTTCTGCATTCAAGCTGTTGCAATTTCATGTCCAATAGCCTCTGGAAAGCTCCACTGTATACTTATGAGAGAATGATTGTGAAACAGGCTAATAATGTTCTTAGTATTGTTATTAAAATAGTTTTGACATTGAAAACACTTTGAAAGGGTCCTGAGGACTGTCAGAGGTATCCAAACCACACTTTGAAAACAATTGGTTTAGACCAACTTTATTATATTTTATTATTCTTATCCCCTATATATTTAATTTTTGCAAATTTTATCTGTCACAGGCTAAGAAAAGCCCATGAAAATGTCCTACCTTTTGTTGATTTTTGTTCTTTTGAGGCATTTTGCTTTACATAATGGTGCTTGTGTATACTGTGGTACACACATATCCAAGACAGTTATATCGTTTATATTTTTATTTATTTTTTGGTGGCTTAAAGCAGTAATAACTGGTTTCTTTTTCTCACAAATCTGCAATTTGAGCAGAGCTCAGGAGGTGGGAGGAAGGCTTGTCTCTGCTCCACACAGCATCAGCTGGGGCGGCTCACCTGAGAGTTGGAGGATCCATTCCCAGCGTGCACACTCACAGGGCTGGCAAGCTCGTGCTGGCTATCAGCTGGTAGTGCAGATGGGGCCAAGTGTTGGGGCCTCAGTTCCTCTTCACATGGGCCTCTCCATGTGGACTTCTCCATGTAACCCAGGCTTCCTCACAGCAATGTGGCTGACTTCCCAGGGGGAGTATCAGAAGAAAGAAAACGTTAGTCCATTCTGAATTCTGCTATTGCTTTGAATTCAGTTCTAATATTATTGAGCTAGCACCTGCTATAATCATAGAAAAAATCAAAGATAGTTGTATTATTAGTTTCTCTCTTTCTGGTGTGTTCTTGGCACATACAGCTTAATCTTAAATCATGGCCAAGTATACTTGGAACAGCTGTAAGAACGGCCAAGTTCTTATATCCTCAGATACAGGAATGCACTTCTCTGACCTGGCCTTTCCATCTACTTCTGCTGCACCATAGAGTTCCCAACCCTGGCATGGTACTTTTGTGCTGCACCATTCACCTGAACACATTTCCTTCTGCCCAAGTCTACTTCTGCTCAACTATGGTTTTATACTTTCCTGACCCCACCCTGGCAACTAATCATGAATCTAGGTTACTTCCTTTGCTTCATCAGGCTTACTGGTATTAATCTCACATGGTTTCTAGAACCTTGAAAGTTTAGTAGAAGAGACCCAGGCTCTTTCCTCTAGTAGTGACATTTCCTGGGCCCAGTGGAACATTTTCCTGTGTACTGGGCATCTCTGCTACATTTCCTGCCCTCCCTTGAAAACAGCTATGTCTTCTCCTTACCCTCTTGCTATAAAACCCACCCCCCAATTTCCAGGAGATGAGAAGTGCCAAGGTTCATGGGCTGTGAATTGTTTTCCCAGGTCCAGCTCCAAACTTAATGTTCAAATAGGCTAAAACGTGGATCCATCTTTGTGGATCAGAGTCCCTAATAGGTTATCTTGCAGAATTCTAGGTGAATATGGTAGCTGTATTAGATTTGATATAAGGCACCAAAGGGGGCATAAAACAGCATGCTTAGGGTAGTGTCCAGGATTCGTATATCCAGCCTTCACCCATATAGCCAAATTCTAATGCCCATTATTGACCATGGATCCATACACACCAGATCAGACACCAGGGTGTTATCAAGGACATCTGGCTCTCTCTTCCTACTAGAATGCCCTCAAGAGACTAATTATGCTTACTGGGTGCAATAGATAAGAGGCTAAAAGAAGCATGCTGAGTACGTAGTGCACGGGAAACACACAAGATTCAGGCCCATTCCCCAGGTCAGAGCCAAGTATAATACCCATATAAGACCAGAGCTAGGGCCAGAACTGGAAAGGTGGCAACACCTGCGCATGAAAGGACTGGTGATCCTTGGCAGCCCTACCTGGGAAGATCAGCTAGGAAGTGAAAGCTTTCCAACAGCAGCACAATTCTGTGCTAGGAGGAGGGGGCCAAATGGAGTTTGCATTCTGATAGGCATGTTCCTATGGTTCCTGGTGAGGCTGCTCAGGAGTAAGGACTCTGTTATAAGCCTCATTTTGAAGAGGAGAGTGAATACTCAATTCTACATTCTTAACCACAGTTCAATACTTATGTTTTCATCCTTAATGGTCTACAAGCCCTTCTATGGCACTCATTTGCAAGAGGGACTGGGCAAGTGAGGAAAACAGGCTCAGGTGCATTAGGTGATTTGCCCAGCTGAAAAGTGATAAAACCATACTAGATCTTCAGATCCTAATCCAATGCTTTACCCACTCTTCCAAGATGGATTATGTAGGTAGGAGAAGCTAGAGTCCAGAAGAAACAAAAGCCCAAGCTGAGGCATTGGAGGCTAACAGGCCTTAGAGGGTAAATAAGAGAAGGTAAGGACAGGCGGGAAATGCAGAGGAAGGACTCTACTGGCAAACACGGGAGCTAGTGGTAAGGCTGACTGGAGTATCCAATTTTGTTGAGATGTAGAAATCAGGTGGGAGAAGTGGGAATAGGGCCAGATGAGTAATTTGATGTGATATGGTGTGTAATAAGGCATCACTGTGGTTTCATGAGAACCAGAGTAACAGTGAAAGCAGGGTACTGTTGTGGCAATTCAGGTGTAAGGTGTTAAGTCTTGGACTAAGATGGTAGCAGTGGAAATGGTGAGGAAAGAATGAATCTACAAGACAGTAAGAAGACAGTAAGACAAGAAAGACTCTTCAGAATTTAGTATCGGATTTGCTACAGGAACAAAAAGTACAGAGTTCAAAGCTGCTTTGTAAGTTCTCAGGGTCTAGAAGAATGAAGGTCTCACTGACATAGAAGATTAATGCCTTTATTTTGGAGAGATAAACAGATTACACTGTTCATCTGACCCTCTTGATAGTACAAGCAGGTCAGATAAACAGTTTAAACCTTGAGATTATATCCCAGCTGGATGGCTAGAGGTCAATCCCCTATAGAAAATAAATTTTGAAGCACAGGGTTGAAAGGGAAATAACTTATATGTTTGCTATAATCATAACAACCAACATATAGCTTTCTTTCATATTATTTTATTAGTACTTATAAAAACAATTTATGAAAATATTTTACTTTTCAAGATACGGAAACTACACTCTGAAAATATACATACCCATAGTTGCTACAATACATATCCTTGTATACACCTTGGACATTGTGTTTAAGAATCATACCTGCAAGGGCTAGAAGAAACATTTTCTCTAACCTCAGTCATATAGTGACATTCAAGTACTTAAACCACATTGTTGAAATAAAACATGCTCTAGTGTATGGGCCTAAAGGGATTTAACTTTCTAGGTGCCATTGGTTCTTTCATTGTGCAAGGTAAAGAACTGGAAGAGGGTTCCCTGAGAGTTAATTCACCTTAGGTGGCTCAAGTAGTGGTTTACTGTCCATACTTTATCATGGAACTAAGGGAGGGAGGAAGACCATGGAAATTCAACTTGGGCAGTCTCCTCTCTATCATCCCTATCTATGGAGCACGGCCCCTATGTGATGATTTCTGAGACCTCCGAGTTCTCAAATGCTCCTGATTCTATAATTATCTAAGGTATTTGCAGAGTGATGTTTTTGCAAGTCTAAATTCCAACACTGTAAATTAGGTGAAATAGAGATGACTTACCTACATAGACTTCATTTAGGATTTGTCAGGTGTCAAGGCAATTGATAAAATCAGCAAGCCAAAAATTCCCCCACTGAACTATTGGAAAAGATCCTTTCTCACCAAGGCACGAATCCTAGAAGGCAAGTTCCTCTTTGCTTTGGGAAAATGATGATGAGAGGGTACGAAAGAGCCTATAACCTTTCAACTCTGCGGGCTTAAGATAATGACAGATGCTTCATCTGACACAGTAAGAGCTGGAGGCTACTGCAACCTCACCAATAAAGGGTTCGTTACAACAAAGAATCATTTGTGTACTCCCTAAGTCCTGACTAACCTCCCAAGCTTTTCTAGATATTAAATTCTCTCTAACTGCAAAGTATTGGTCTGATGAAGTTCCAGATGTAAAATGTGCTGTTTGAATTCGTGGCATTAGTGTCATGGTGCTGCCTCAAGGTATGGCACTGACATTTAACATCATGCTGATAAACTAGAATTTATAGCGATTTTTATTTCAATGCAGGAAACTATGAAAGTCAATCAAACATAGATTCACAAGTCTTTAATGTATAACATAAAACATTATTACATATAATTTCATAACTATAAAAATAAGTTTAATACATTATCATATTTTTAAAAATTACTTTAAAAACATATACTCCAAAGTCTTCTATTTCATTTAGAGAATAAGGGAGGTATCTATTGGGGTGAACCATATGAAACTATGGTTTTTTAAGTTAAAATAGTAAAATCTTGGCAATTACATATGGTTCAACCTAATAAGATCCTGAGAAAATTTTATTTGGCATCACACTATAAATTCAAGGGGAATTTATAGAAAATCACATTTCTAGTGAAGAGAAAACACTTCAGGATGGAAATGTGCACACTGGTCATGCCAAGATTTCTCTTTGTGATTTAAAGATCTGAAATCCTGGAATGTTAAGAAAAATTTAGAGCAGTTTCAAAAAAAACTGAGGACAATTAAAATTATAGAATGCTAGCTGCAGTTGCTAATGCGACTGAAACAGAAAACTACTTGCCAAATTTGGCAATTTAAGTGTTTTAGAGGTGACATAATAAAAATTCCAGCATTAAAATGAAAAGGCACAAATATGAGTTACAAGTATGATAATCATTTATAAAATACTTGAAAATAAGGCCAATTCATTTGTATTATTAACACCATTAAGCAGGCACCTATTCTAAGCTTCAACTTCGTCCTCCTAAATAGAATAAGGTTGCAAATGAATTATCAACATAATACTAATTATAGCAGCATTATCAATTGTCTGGAAGGCATAGTATATAAAGATCATGGTGGTAGAACCAAGTTTCTTAGGCTCTACACTGCTAAAAGAATATCTAAAATAGCCTCCCCACCCATATCCCATCAGTACCAAAAATACATTTTAAAAATTACATATAATATTACTAGCCATAAAATTTTTTGGTTTTTCTTCAAACAATGAGCTCTCCTCTCAGCAACTCGACCCCAACAACAACAAAAAAACAAAACCAAAGCTACCAAAATATTGTTACACCAAACAGACTAGCTAATCTTAACTAATTAAAGACATACTATATTCAAAAATGGTACTTTAGGAAATTTATTAAATATAACCAACGAAGCAAATGCAGATTTTCCAGATGTGTGCATATGCTGTCTGTGAATTAGGTGATGGTGTACTTGAAAAAAATATGTATTTCTGCAATGATGCTTCATTTGGAACTTTGGTACCATTTACGAACGGCCGCTCCAACATTACTGGCTACTACGCAGACAGCACCACCCACTGTCCACCATGTTGGCACATTATTAAAGAAAATAATCTGAAAGATAAAAGCAAAGACCACATCCATTGTCCTCATTATTGCTACTGGCCCTGCTTTTTCTATTTGAAGTGCTTTTGTGATAAATATCTGAGCCCCCAAACCAAAGAGCGCAATGAATATGAGAAATAGCCTGTCCAACCCACAGTAAGGCAGACTCCACTCTCCTAATATAAAGAGGATGATGACAGTTTCAACGAGGCCAAGTACTACATAATACCAAATGGTCAGAAAGTAGTCCACAGATTTTCCCATTTTTCTTAGGATAACTAGAGTCGATGCAGCAAACACGGCGTGTCCAATTGCTGCGAATGTTCCCTTAAGGTGGACTGAATAGCTTTCTTCGATCCCCAAAGAACCAAACAAAAATGGTGGTCTCACGATAAGGATCACTCCAGCGATTGTGAACATGGTGAAAAGAGCATCCCAAGGGCTATATTTTTCCTTGAGACATATCCAAGCAAATATGGACGTAAACACTGGACTGCTAAACGTGATAACTGTGGCATCAGCGAGGGCCATTGTCTGGAAAGCATAGTATATAAGCATCATGGAGGTAGAACCAAGGACTCCTCTGAGAATGAGGAAAATTCGATGACTTTTTGGGCCTATAAACCCAGTTCTGTAAATTCAAATGAAGAAATGCATATTAAATGAAATTAACATTTGTTTTTAAATTACAATTTGTAATTAAACATTATTTTAAAAGTACTAAATATCAAAAAATAAGGGAATAGTAAATTAATTATAATATCCACAAATGAATATTATATACCTTTTAAAATAGTATTTTCTAAGTATAGTTAATGACAGTAAAGCGTTCACAGTAAAAGCAATACCAGTGCAAGTGAATTACATACATAGTAAAATTGTAATTCAATTAATATAGATATGTATCCCATGTATATGTATACATATATGCTTGCAAAAAGGACAAAAAGGAAAATAAACTAAATGTTAATCATGTTTATCTCTTAATAGATAAACTCATAGGTAATTTTCCTTCTTTATATTTGTTTTCTCCAAATTTTCTATAAAGAAAACATACCACTTTTACAATAAATACAAGGTCAAGATTCAGCTGCCCTGTTTAAGGAAACTTAAACCTAACTAATGCTGATTCTCAATCTCATGAATTTTTCTATAAAACTTGAAACACTGCTAAAATTTATTTTAGATTGAATATGAGACAAGTTTTCATCGTTCTCATGAGGAGTCAAAACGCACTGAAAAAGAACATGTAGTGTTTGGAAAACCATGCTTACTGCTATTCAAATTCTTTTCAATAAATATTTACTAAGTACCCACTCTGTGTAGGTTCCTGTCTAGGAACTTGCTGACTTGTTGCAGGGCTAGACTTCATTAGATTATCATCTAGGCTACCCCGGGTATCTTGGAGTTAAAATAAAAGCACGGTCACATTTGGCCCATACTTTGAGAAGCAAAGAGTCTTCCATGATAATAAAACATAAAATGGGTCAAAACAGATTAGGACCAAGGATTTTAACAACATTCTTCCACTGTTCTTCCCCTGACAATATCTTTATTTCAAAATGGGGAAGATAATTATGTTAGCATCAGTGTTGTGCTGCTACCCTTAGAAATTTCTAAAGCCCTACCATCATTTCTTAAAATAGTGTGACTTGTCCACATTGACAGAAATTTGCAGATATTAGCAGATTTTCACTTTTCCCACCAAATCCTTAGGATATGGAGTGAAACTCTTCTAAGCGAGTCTGCACCATGTTAGAGATACAAGCAGACTTTGGTGACAAGTGACTAAAGCTTTTCATTTGGGGTGTAGGCTTTTTTGCCCAAAGAGACAAAGAGCCAGGCAGCCACTAAGGACCCAACTGGTCTCTCTCTCAGGGTTCTAAATACACTGAGGTATATGGAGGTTACAATGGTTGAAGGAAGCATAATTTTAACCCAGGCAGGGTGGGCAGTACAACAGGGAAGGAAAAGAGGAATTGGGTTGGGAGAGAACAGAGAGGGCGGAATAGAGACAATTTTCATATGCTGTTATGTTCTACGCAAGGCACTCCACCCTGTAATAAATCTTATTAGACCCTTGTTATCACCTTGTAGGGCAGAGGTCACACAGTATCATTACCTCCAGTTTACAAAAGAGGAAACTGAATATGAAGGTAACCTTGCTCAGGGTTACCCCATCACCTTTTGAGGAATACCTAAATATTATTATTATAATATTTTATTTGCCCTGGTAAGAAAGCAGCTCGTTCTAAAAAAAACTTCTGACACTAGGATACACTATTACTTCTTTTCATTCATCTTTTTCTTCCAAACAGTAGTTATGCCAAAGGAAAGAAGGGAGGGTGATACAAGACAGGAGGAATTATACAAAGAAAGCTCTGTTTTCAAAAGGGGAGGTGGTGAACAACAAAATTTCTTTCTCCCCACTTTGTTGGGTATGTGGTTTATGCTTATGGTAGAATCTTCTATGGGTGGATGCTTATGACTTTTCATTAAGCAGAACCAAGGGGCATAGGAACTGGTAAGTGTATGAGAGGGATAAAGCAGATACTGTAGAGTAATTATAGGCAGGTGAAAAGATACACACACATTTATTAATATCTTCTACTTTGCAGTTAAAAAATACTTACTTTCTGTATATTAAGCAAGGGAGAACAATTAGCATTTGGAGCACACATCGAAATGCACTAATCTCTACAGCATGGACGTCTTGCACTTTTTTAACCAATAAAGAGCTCACTGAGAAACAGAAGGCAGACAATAATGTGTAAAACAAGCCAAGTCCAGGACAGGGTGCTTTCTTCTTGGCTTCTGAAAAAGATTAAATTCTGGTTAGTCCTTGCTTCCAAGTGTACGTTTTATCATTTTTCGCTTAGATACTGGGAAAAATGGAGCCGTGTCAAAGGTTAATAGGCTATATTACCTCCTAAGCATATCATTTCTCTGGGCCTGTACCATTTTCATCATCAATTATGAAGAACCATAGATGAGGACAACAATTTAAACCTGCATTTTTAAAATGCCATTTCACCCTATCAAATGGATTTCCTATGGCTCACTGAAGAATCATTCCTCACTTACAAGTCAAGAAGTAGAATGCTTGCCAAGATGGTGAGAGAAATCTTTAAGAAAAACTTGTCAAGATGGCAAGTAAAAAGTCCTTCCAAATGATGTCTTATGCCATCTCACTGGTGAAACTGCCTTTATGAAGAAAGTGTTCTTTTCTGGAAAATGGGTTCTAATTGGGTTATACAGTTATCTGGTGATTATTTGACTTCTCCCAAGTCTGTGAGCTCTTCCAGGGCTGGGATCTTGCTGTCTTGTTCATGCCTGGCACATGGAAGACACTGGATAACTATTCAGTGAATGAAAGGTGAGAGAACTTCAGGGAAAAACTCAAGAGTCTAACACTATTGGCAACAGCATAGTCTGGGAAGGTTCTCCATTTTGTTATTTTGAACTGTTAATCAGATCTATATATAACTTTTCATGATTCACAACTGATCTTCCCATTCAGAGCACAAACTCCTCAAGGGGAGGGTGCAGGTTATCTAGCCCTTTGGATCCCAAGTGCTTTGTACAGAACTGCCATCTAATCCCTACTCTTGGCTTGATCTGAACCAGGAAACCAGTGCTTTCTCCAGGGCATCAAGTATTCAGTCATTAATGACAATCTGTGTGAGCTTTAAACTTCTGTTTAGCCACTTTCTATGTCTTAGTTTCCTACACAGGAGTAGAACCTGCTTTCAGTCTTACTCCTCTGTCATTCAGAGGAGAGCAAAAGCAGCAGGGTGGGCAGAGAATGCCCACAAACAAAGGCCACACACTGCGGGATATATTCTTTTTTGAAATTAACACAAAAACAGGGTTGAGGATAAGGAGGAAACATAGGCCAGGCATGGTGGCCTATGTTTCCCAGCACTTTGGGAGGCCAAGGCGGGCAGATCCCAAGGTCAGGAGATCGAGACCATCCTAGCTAACACGGTGAAACCCCGTCTCTACTAAAAATACAAAATATTAGCCGGGCGTGGTGGCGGGCGCCAGCTACTCAGGAGGCTGAGGCAGGAGAATGGTGTGAACCCGGGAGGCGGAGCTTGCAGTGAGCTGAGTTTGCGCCACTGCACTCCAGCCCAGGCAACAGAGCAAGACTCCGTCTCAAAAAAAAAAAAAAAAAAAAAAGGAAACACAAGTGGCCCTCATTGATTAAGAGCACAGTGGAACTGAAGGGTGAGTGGATATGAGCAATTTGTAGGAAAACTCATGTTATCATTCCAATCTAGGACTTTACAATGTGATAGCTATAAAACAGTATTGTGTAATGTTTTTAAAAATGCCCTTCTCTGATAAATGTAAACACCAGGTAATACATTTACACATCTTCAGGTCAGTGAGATGACTTTGCAAACTGGGACCAAAGTATGCTGATGCACAGGCTTTCTGGGGCATTCTACAGCCTGGCCTCGTGGTCAAAGGCACCATTCTCTACCTCTTCCTGTTCTAGGGGCACAACTGAAGATACTGTTTTGGAACTAGCAGTCGTCCTTCCTTTAAGATGCCAGAATCCTCATTCTGTTCTGTATCCAAGTGCTCATATACTGCAGAAATAAACTGTACACACTCAGCCCATGAGAAGGAAGCTTTAGAAGACTTCCAAATGAAGTACCACAAAATACATGCCTTGGTTGTGGTCAGCCTTAGGGTTTGACCTCTGAAATTTCAGAATTCAGTTCCAAGTAAAACAGTGTTTTCTTAAAAGAAACTCAACCCCTACATAGAAACTCCACCCTCAAACAGAACAGAATGAGAAGATCAAGGACAGAAAACATCTCCCTGCTCTATGTTTCAAGTATCTTCTCCAACATAAACTTGCTAATTTTTCCCCAGGAATATTTTCACGTAACATTAAATATTTTAACTCTTTAAAAATTAATTGCACCCCCTTGGCCCTGGTGACCTTTTCCCTTAAAACACATACACATATATTTTCTTGCCTATAAACACTTAAGGCTCATGCTTTCCAACTGGGAAGGGACAGACATTAGAAGGCTTCGCTGCATTTGATGATTTGTTAACGAGGGTGAGGACTGGCTCCACTCAGACAAACCTCAGTCTCTTACTGAATCATTTCAGTCCTGTCAATGGAGATGAGCACGACTAGCATAATTGAAAGAGGCATTTGTTTATGTTCCATGTTCATATCTCACTGCAAGCATATATAATAATTTGGTAACTCAAATTATTCAAATTAGGTAAGTGGCCATGGTATAATTTCCTCACTTAGAAGAAAAAGGCAAAGTTACTCAGCTTTTCTATCCTCTGCTTTAAGCTGGTGATTCGCAATCCTGGTTGGGAATTAGAATCACCGGAATAACACTTAAAATTTTAATTCCCAGGTGCAGTGGCTCATAACTGTAATCTCAGCACGTTGGGAGGACAAGGTGGGAGGATCTCTTGAGCCCGAAAGTTTGAGACCAGCCTGGGCAACACACGCATCAACCCCCTCATCAATGCAAAACATATTTTTAAATTAGTCGGGTGCGGTGGTGTGTGCCTGTGGTTCCAGCTACTTGGGAGGCTTAGATGAAAGGATCGAGTAAGCCAGGGAGGTCGAGGCTGCAGTGAGCTGTGATCATGCCACTGCACTACAGCCTAGGTAACAGAGTAAGACCCTATCTCCAAAAAAAAAATTAATTCTCAAACCCCATCTCAGACCCACTGAAATAGAATATCTGTAACTCTAAAAGACTCCACTGGTTTGAGAACCACTGCTACACTCAATCACTAACTCCTTCCAGAGGATATGAAGCACAGGCCTAAGAAACTACTTCTCCTTGCTTCAGTCTAAGACCCACACTGTCCCTGAAGAAAGTAAGGAGATGTCTTGGGACAGCTGTATGCTGTCTGTTAAGGTCATCCAAGAATATAAGACATGTGGGTAACAGTTCCAACCAGAATTTGAAAAAAGCTTTGTTGAGATAAGCAGTTAGAACAAGAGGTGTCACAAAGTTCAATGACAACAGTAAAGTGTTTTTATGTCAATTTTCTTTCCAAAATACTATCTTGTCACCTTACAATAAGTCTTACTGGTAGAAACTTTCTTTGAAGTTAAACACCCACAAGATTCTTAGATAGACTCACATAAGTATCTCATCTTGCCATGAGCTGCCTGGGGGTAGACAATTCCTCTTCCATTCACAAAAACGGGAAACTCCTAAGAGTTGGCATGGACTGATTCAGCATGCCACCAGAAGGACATTCAGCCAGAGGGTGACAGGTGAGAAACTGACCTTTTCAAAGGTTGCTTATCTGTTCAATTCAGCCTGGCGTAACCCCTGTTCTAGAGGCACCAGCCCATTTATAAATGATCACAAGTCTGATCATTTCGGTTTGCCTTTAGGACAGAAATGGAGCAAGAATAGTCTTCCTAGAGTCTGTCTAACTTGTGGAAAGCGCACAAAGGGAGGAGGGGAAAGTGCAGTGAGACGAGAGGAACAGAAATCCAAGGTTACACTTAGGGGAGGTGACTCAGAGGACAAGGTGGTGCAGCAGGCCGTGTAACTGTCCTAAAAGGAGATTTGCCAATTCCCTTCTTCTTGCAGGAAGCTGCTCCTGGTAGATGGTCGACTTCTAAGAGGAACGTGCTTTAAGAAGCACTTGTGGCCAGTGGAAAGGGACCTAGGCTGGTACATGGCAAGCTGGGATCCTAACCCTGGTGCTCCCTGGACATGCGCCCCATCTCACCCCCACATTCCACATCTTGGATGAGACAAAACAGAAACCCCAAAGCCCTCACCTTCCTGGGCCTCACTTTTCTCATGTGTCGAAGGACGGAGATTGAACATAAAGTGTTCTTCACGAGGGTTCCCTGGCTTTGGGGACGGGGCTGTGAGCTTCTTAACAAGATATGCCTTGTTCTGCATCGTTCGCTAAAAAGTCCTTGTATCCCTAAAGGTTAAAAACGAGTGGTCCCACTTATCTCTGCCTTTCCAAGATTCTAAAACTCTAGGACGAACATGTTTTCTAGACTCGATGCTTTTCAGCTTCCTTTTCGGAGAGAACCCTCAACCACCGGGATCACTTTTCAGGGTCAGCTTCCTCGCAACCTCGCCCTACTGCAGGATGGCCTCTCTCGCTGACCCCCCACCTAAGACCTCGGGGAGGGCACGCCAAACTGCAATCTGACTCCACAGCCCTGCCCCGGCACTAATACAGGAACAGCCTGGGAATCCCAAAAGGACTGCAAGCAATCGGAAAGTTTCTTCCGTCTTGGCGCCGGCTGGGGCGCCGGGAATTCCGCTTTGCAGCCCCCCCAGCTCACAGCTCCAGGGGTTTCCCGAGCCCCGGGCAGGGTGGGGACGGAGGCGCGGTGGGGACGGAGGCGCGGTGGGCACGGAGGCGCGGTGGGCACTGTGCCCGGGTTGCTGGAACCCCAATCCGCCGGCGCCCGCTCGGGACCCCGGAGCGAGACCACAGCCCGGTCCACACCGCGCACTCACCCGGCTCGGTGCGGGAGCAACACGGCGAGGAAAGGCAGAGCCAGCACCTGCCGCTGTCTGGCGCCCCCGCTGCCTCGGCGGCCGCCGGCTCCTCACTGGCGCCCGGGGGTGCATCGTCCGTCAGCGGCAGCCCGGGCTCCTCGAGCTCCACGGCCCCGGCGCTGTCCTGAGGCCGCATCTCAGGGATCGCGATCTACCATCGGCCAGGGCAGTCTGGCGCCAGCAGCAGCGCCCGGGCTGCCGGCTCTTCCGGCGGGCGTGGCGCCCGTGCGCATGCGCGCCCGGCCCTCCCACACCCTCTCCCAAGTGGACCGCGCGCGTCCTCCGCTGGCCTCTTAACCTGGGGAGACCCGCCGCCTCCCTGGTGGTTCTGTGGTGCCCACAGCTGGCCCTGAGGCGTCCAACCCTCTGCTGCGGGCAGGCTGGACGGCCCAGCTGCTTGGAGCCATCCTTGGCAAGTCACACTGAACCTGTCTGTCATGGCACAGGCAAGGAGGGGCGCTAGGTTCCCAACCTGTCTGTCATGTGGCCGCCTTTTCAGGAGGCTCAAAGAGTGGGCGTTTATTTATTGATGTAGCCACGCTTTCAGCACCTCTGGGATACCCCGAAGATTTTACAAAGCACTATGCTTTTCTTTAAATGGTCTAGGGTTTGGTTTTGTTTCCCGTGTTGTCTCTTTGCCGCTTACCAAGGAGGGTAGAATTTTGCTGGTTTGGGAAATATTTTTAAGAAAGAATTAGTGTGTAATTATAGGAAGATATATCTGTAAGTCTGACCAGAACCCATTTATATGTTCTTTGCATTCTTTGCAAGAGTAGGCGTGCATTATTGATCGTTGGTTTTCTTTTCTTAAATGGAAATATCCTAATTGGCCAGATGTAAGATTCAAGTAATCTGATGTAATTAGATCCGGTAGAAGATACATGTCATTTGGCCCGGGATTCACTAACAGCCTCTTTTTGTTTAGCTAATAATTCTTCCATCTCTTTGCTTGATTTATATGTAGAAGAACAGTCTCTAGGCAAGGGTGAACGTATCTAAGCTTCTAAGTCCAATGCCAAGCAGATCACCAAAGGAGAGTGAAGTTTGCCTTTACTTAGACATTTGCACATAGTGATCCACAGCTGAAACAGTTTTAGACTTAAAGTCAGGAATCCTAGGTTCTGGCCCTGAGTGTGTGACCTCAGTCACCACTGTACCCCTCAAAGCCTTGATTACCTCCTTTATTTAATAGAGATCAAGTATTTCCCTTCCTGCTTCGCAGAGTAGTTACGTAAATAAAATGCAATGATGTGGGCAAAAGCATAATATCACTTGGAAAGCACTATGCTAGAAAATCAAAGTGTGTTTTAAACTAGGGTCAGCATATAATTTATCCTCCAAACTGGGCCTTTTTTTGTTTTTTGAGAGTAAAAGGAAGAGCTCTTTTAAAAGTTATGCAAGGGAATAGGCATAAACTGGGACTGTCCTAGGCAAACTGAGACAAATGGTCACCTGAATTCTAACTTGATTAACACATACTTTTGTCTTGTCTTAAAGAGAATTTAAGGCTGGGCACGGTGGCTCAGCTTGTCATGCTAGCACTTTGGGAGGCTGAGGTGGGAGGATCGCTTGAGCTCAGAAGTTTGAGACCAGCCTGGACAACGTAGACCCTGTCTCTATCAAACAAACAAAAAAAAAAACATAATAATACTTTTAATAGAATTTAAGGCTACTTACAAAAATATCTGTAACAGGTTTTGTTGTCGTTGTTTTAGATAGGGAAATTTCAGGGAAGGAGGGTGAGGGTAGTAGACCACGATTATAAAGCAAGAACCAGGAAGCTTCCTCAAATATCTGGAAAGTCAAGTGCAGTTTCACAATTGCATTCTAAGATTTAGTTGTGGAAAGGGTTTGAAGAATCCCCTCCTCTTAAATGGTGAAAATGGTGGCTAGGAAGTGTAGTAAAGAAGAAAGAAGTGTGATGATTTGAGAAGGAAGTACCCTGACTGCTCCACTTTCAACACTTTCAACACCATCCTGGAGAAGGGAGAAGAAGAAGAGAAGAAAATGGGTACTACACCAGTGTTGACCAGGTGACTAAAGGTGGTGAGATGGTTTCATACGTGCAGTTTATTCCCTTTAACATCCTTCCCCTCCACTGCTGACCTTCATATATAAATGGTATCAGTTATATTCATTCTCCCATTTAGCTGAGAGCCATGTTGACATAAAAGGCAACCAATGAGAAAAGTGCGGACCAGGCCGGCCTGTAATCCCAGCACTTTGGGAGGCTGAGGAGGGCGGATCACTTGAGGTCAGGAGTCTAAGACCAGCGTGGCCAATATGGCGAGACCCTATCTCTACTAAAAATACAAAAATTAGCCAGGTCTAATGGCGGGTGCCTGTAATCCTAGCTACTCGGGAGGCTGAGGCAGGAGAATCGCTTGAACCCGGGAGGTGGAGGTTGCAGTGAGCCAAGATCACACCATTGCACTACATCCTGGGCAACATGAGCGAGGCTCTGTCTCAAAAAAAAAAAAAAAAAAAATGCGGACCAGACTAGAAGTCAGAAGACATGGCTGTCCTGAAGCTTCACCCAGCAGAGGTGTGGGGCCGTTAAGGTCTCCCTTGAACATTGTTATTTCAGGTCTTTGGTGATGATAATGATGTTGAGCTGGTGCGAGATAGATCTCCATAGTGTGCAGGATGGGCCAGAAATCCCCACTGTGGAGGAGACTAGTTCAGAGCCTATTGAAGTGGCCCAGATGAGATTCTGACCCCAGGTAGAGAAGGCAAAGAGGAAAGATGGATTTTGAGGTGGCTAGGAGATGGAATGTGCAGAACTTGTTGACTAGATGTGAAAGAGCATTGTTTCTGTATGCAAAATCGTGCAGTGTTCCAGCACACACTCTTCTGCTTCCGAAGTGATTCAATCTTCCAGTGAGAACAGGAACTCTCACTGTGATGCCAGGTAGCCACAGCAAGGATGGCACTGCCATAGTTCTGGTGTCAAGAAGGAAGAAGGAAGATGAAAGTGGAGAAGAGGTGGGGTTTTTTTACCTGTCCCTGCTAACCACTGAAAGTCCAAGATCCTCACCATCCCCATGGCAGCAGGTGGAGACTTCCAGGTATTTCCAGGAGGAGTCAGACTCCTGGTTTCCACTGCTCTTTGCATGTCAGGGATGTTCCTAAGTGAGACGTTTGTAAGTCAGGGACTGTCTTTCATAACAAGCTGGTATGTTGGTACTGATTTGAAGGACTGCTTTTTTTTCCCAAAAAAATTCATGGATTCTTAACCTTTTAAACTAATGGACCTTATGACTTGGGAAATGGCAGTTTGTTCCAAACAGCTCTAATGTTTTGTTTTGGGAAAAATCAGTACTGTGGGACATAAGATCATGTTTCTAAATAATCTTGGTTGTAAATGAACGATGGGACCAGCAAAAGAGAGGTCATTTAGGATAAATGTAGGATAGAACACTGGAGAGGCAAAATAAACTGTTCAAATAAGTAGGAACTGACTCTGAAAATATAACAGAAAAAAATGCCAGGAATAGCTCCTCAAAAAATTAGACACAGTTACTACATGATCCAGCATTTCTACTTCTAGATATATATTCCCAGATGTAGTGAAAGCAGGAAATTGAACAGATATTTGTACATTCGTTTTCATATTAGTATTATTCACAACTGCCAAAGCTGGAAACAACTGAAATGTCCATCAGTGGATGAACAGATAAGCAAAATGTGGTATAAAGCATACAGTGGAATAGTATTCAGTCTTAAGAAATGAAATTCTGACATGCTACAACATGGATGAACCTTGAAGACATTATGCTAAGTAAATAAACCGAACATAAAAGGACAAATATTGTATGATTCCATTTATTAGCGGGGCCTAGCAGAGTCAGATTCATGAGACAGAAAGTAGCATGATGGTTCCCAGGGTCTGGGATGTGGAGGGAATGGGAGTTAGTGTTTGATGGGTGTGGCATTTCAGTTTCGGATGGTGAAGGAGTTTGGTGGATGGATGGTGAAAGAGTTTGGTGGATGGATGGTGGTGATGGTTGTTCAGCCATGTGAATGCACTTAATGCCACTGAGTTGTATGTTTAAAATGGTTAAAATGGTAAATTTTATGCATACTTTATTAAAATTTTTAAGGAGTTAAAAATGCCAGGGAAAACAGTTCTGAGAGTTTGAACAGTAATCTGTGCAGACAGTTTAAAGCCCTTATCAGATTTTTGAAGTTTCTTTGAAGTCCTGTGTTCTATTTTTAAAAAGGTATGACAATTTTCCATTCTGGTCCCTAATATATCTTTTATCTTCATACCATTTTTCATGTAATGCATTCAGCTAGTGTTGTTTGAGTGCACACACTGGACAGCTTACAATTCTTAGCAGTGGTGGAGTGGGGAACAAAAGAGACAAGGCTTAGGACCTGATGGGGATTGGGTGGGGGATGATGGAGAAATGGAGAAATGATGCTAGCATTACCTAGCATCCTGCAAAATCCATGCGCCAGAGGTGTGGCACTCGTTTAGCTCCCGGCTTTCTGTTCTCTCCTGTTGGACAAATTGGGCTGGGAGTCAGGATGCTCCCTTTCAAAGGAGCTCTGACGATGTGGCCAGGACATTCTCCGGTTCTTTGTTGCTTTCCTACTCTCTGATCTGTTCCCATGCTGCAAAAGGCAGCTTCTGTATAAATGATCTCTGACACCCCAGGGAACTTGTATTTTTCTTTGAGAACTTTCTGTTTACAGATTCTCTGAGAGTGAGGATGCCTGAGCTTTAGACTTGGCCCTGGATGTTGCTACAGAATTCACATTAACCCCAGATTTGTCGTGACTTGAGATTTGGATTCCACTCAACTCTCATTTTGATAATTACCATTTATGAAAGAATAAAAATGTGCCAGGCACTATTGAGCTCATCAGCTCATTTAATACACAGGAGAGCTTTATCTGGCAGTTTTGCTTAATAGTTAAAAGCAGAGCTCTGGAGTCAGAATGCCCAGGGTCCATTCCTGGATGTACCACTTACCAGCCTTGTGACTTCCAACACATGACAGCCCATTGCTCTGAGCATCTATTTTCACACCTATAAAGTAGAATAATAATAGTATCTAGCTGTTGCGGGGATAAAATGAGATAATACTTGTAGAGTACCTGACACTAAGTACTCTTTTTTAAAAAGTATGCATTTTATCATCCTCATTTTATAAATGAGAAAATTGAGAGTCAGAGATGTTAAACCAGTTGCCCAAAGTCAAACTGATAGTG